GAGAGAGGCGAGGAGTCTGACGCGGACGCCACTTGCGTTGCTTCACTGGCTGCGAGGACGGAGCAGAGGCAGGCACACCACCGGAGGGATGAAGCGCCGGCGTTCCTTGCAAGGCTGGGGAATGGCGGCCAGCTGTGGCGTCTCGTTGTTGTTGAGACGCAGGCTTCGATTTCGCTTGCTTGCGTTGCCACAGTCTCACCATGTCGTCGAGGTATTCATCTTCTGATGGCATGGTGTTTTCGGAGGATGAGATCTCCATAGACAGCATTTGGCTTGAGGTAGGATCATAGCCCGTAACCACGTTAGCGGCCGCCATCGCCGGGCTGGGAGCCCTTAGCGAGGCGGCGTTGTAGCCGGGAGTGAAGGACGTCCCTCAAGTTGTCAAAACTGGACCCACCTGGACGAAGGTGTTGTCTAGGCGAAGCGGAGAACTTGGCGGTGACGATAAATCCAAGTTTCAGGGGTACCAAGGTGGATGTCCGCAGAAATAGCATAAAATCTACGGAGGCGATGTGGAGTGCGTACGTCACCATCGAGCGCTCGCAGCGCCCCCCAGGCTTCCCGGGTGGCGAAGAAGTAGCGCTACGCTCCGTTTGCGGCGGTTGATGTAAAATGGGCTGCACCTAATTGTCCGCGCCAATGACGCTACTCACGGCGTTTCTCTTCCTAATGTAAACCCTGTAGTTACATAGAAAATAGTCTAAGCCACCTCTTTCTACCCAATGAGCACTGCTACTGGTGAAATGGCGTCGTCTGTCACTTCTACTAAACTGCGGCCTGAACAGAGGCTCAATGCCGCTGACGTAAAAATCCGTAAGTACGCGCGGCCGAAGCAGAACCATTTGCCCCAACTTCTCGCAAAGTCAAAACACCTGAACGGCTGCGCCCATAATTTGCGTTAGACAGCACCGTAATTGCCGGTGACTTTTTTCCCCCTTAAAGAGGGAGCACTGCCATCTCGAACAGCCGACCTTTATCGTCTTGAAAGCTTCCAATAACTTAATACGTAGTCAATTAGATATAATGGGGTGAATGGGCACTTAAAGAATACCGTGATAACTGCCAGACAGCGCCCTGCCTCACTAAATGGTTCTCGCCAGCTTTTTTATTTATTCATTTATTTATGACAAGAAGCACCATCGTTTTCAGCACACAGTGATTATCGATTCCACGTCTGGCAGCGAAGAAACAAGGCGACTACAGAGAAAAGAAAGTAAAATTGCTAATTTACTAGGCGTTCAAAAGTCAACCTGCTCCTCAGTTTTAAGTTCCGATTAATATCGGTACTTAAAATGAACAAAACAGAAGGAAGAAACTTTTCTTCACATTCCGTTTTCGTAACCTTTCGCGCATTGAGTCACAAACGAAACTCCAACCGCTCTTTACTCCCACCATTCGATGGAGTGAGTAAAAGCTGCATTTCTAACGCATTTTTCACTGACCTCGTAACCATCTTTTCATATTGGGTAGTTATTTTCTCTAAAAAACGAACTTCTTTAACTCATTCGACTCCAACGTATCATTAACCATGTTAGCCCTCACATCGCTGACCCATGCAACTGCTTTTCACTGCATGTATTTAAGGTGTTCATTGACAAAATAATTACGCAAATGGTCACGCCGGCTTTGAATTATTTCGATTTGTTCATATTATAGCGATGTCCCAGCAGCCGTGACATTTAGGCCAAATCAATAACAGCCTAGAAATTAAAATTGCTTTAAAGAGAAATGAGAACGGCCTCCCCTTCTTAAACCTCCCTAATCAATCTTACGGAATGGGAACCTAGGTGACAGGAATTTATTGTGGTCCACTGGCACCGCACTGGTTTCGGCGACTATTTCTCTACCTTTTTTTATCAACCTTCTTTTTTCGGTTGTCTTCATTGCAATCTACGCGTTGAGTCCATCCATTGTAGCTTTATTCATTGCGATAATGATTATATGAGCATTCAACAGGAATTTTCCCCGTCATCGTTGCCACACGTCATTTTCCGTATAAAGTCCAAGTCTATAACATCGCCCCGGGCGTTGAAGTGAAGGCTTGCGATGGCTGCAGACGGGTGCCGCTAGAGCAGAGATGAAGCACGCTGGCTGGCTCCGTCGCATAAAGGAGCATGAAGAGGCCTCCTGTGGAAGGCTGCGTTGCTCGGCTCATACCCTCCTCGGTGTACTGCCCCTTTACAGGTCAGGCTGGGGTGAGCTGGCGGATGTGTTCTTTTTTGTTTAGCCTGTAGTGCTGCAGTGTATCGTTGTACTTTTTAGGTACATCTTCATTCCTTCTTAGTGCGTTCTCTGGGATGGCTCGGTGTACATGAGCTCGGGCGAAAGCATCGACTGCCTCATTTGCCGTCAGGGACTCGTGACCTGATGTCCAAACGGTGTACGTTTCAGGTAGATTCGCCTTCGCTGCAGTGGCGAGAATTTCTAAGGCTTGCTTGGAAATGCTTCCTTTCCTAAAATTTTGACAAGGCGCTTGAGAATTAGTTAGTATTATTGGTGTGTCAGCACAGGTTGAAACTACTGTTTCTTCTGCCGCATCGATTTCTGTAGTTAACATTCTAGCTGCCGTTTTCTCTTTGCCATCACTGTCCACTACTATGAGAGCATGGGCAGAGATACTAGAATATTTCGCTGTATCTTGTGTCCGGACCGCAACCGTAACCTTGACAGTGCTTCTTTATCCTGGATTTTCTTCTTCCGAGATAGTAGGTAGGATGCGTATATCGCGAGCTAATGAGATGTACTGTCTAATTGTTGCTGGAAGCACGTTTTTCTCATCACATTGTTACATTGCTTCAGGATAACCCTATAGTTGAAGTGCCGCACGCCCACTTTCAGTTAATCTAAGCCGTTTCGAGTTGATTTACTTCGTTTGCTTCCACGAGCTCCTCCCAGGTGTTGTGGAGGCCTATACGCGTCGCTCAGTGGAAGCACGTTCAAAACTTCCTATGACAGTTTTGATAGCATTCGTATAAGGGTATTGGGTTTTTCAATTTCAGAATTCTTCAGATCCAAGTAAGGGGTTCCATAAGTAATTATGCCGATGATGAGTGCTCGGATCAATTTGATTTTGTCGTGTTCCATTCATCCTGTCTAAATTTTTAGTGCTTGTACTTTTAATTTGTTCTACAACAGCTGCGTAACGAAACCAGAAGCAAAAATATTTCTGGCCAGATGCCGGTGTTTCCATGCCCATCTAGGAGTTCTATCAGTAAAATATCGAAATTTTCAGCCATCTCTACGAGTCTATTATCTTCGACGATCACATTTGGTGCGCATTGCACTTTCAATACAGAAATCAAGAACAAACAGATCACTTAATTGAAACGCAATTCAGCCTGTACCATACCAATTCTTGACTCATAGTTAAGCAGACATTGAAGTTGAGACAAACTTGACGAAATTTTTTTCTCGTTGCTATAATCATTCAGAAAATAAACGAACAGTCATCAGGTGATCAAACTTCTTGGAGAGTGTAGTGAGTACTTGAGCGGCACGAATAATGATACCACCTCTCTATTCCGCACTATCTAAATATAACTAAACCCACTGTTGAAAAACTACTGACGGTGCTGTATGAATAGAGACAGAAGAATACAGAAGCAAGAATACGGATATGTAATCAAACTAAAGCCCCGATATATTTGCGTTCAATTTATGACTTGTAACAACAGATAATTGTTGTTTTAGTTAATCCATTGGTAACTTGTTTTTTTTTTACTTGCAAAAGTTCCTTGTCCTACTAGCATATTCAATTGTTCCAGTTATTGTAAGCAATCTCTGCCTCAATAATTCTTAGAGAAGGTGCCATAATCATGATACTCCTGACGACATTTTTTGTTTTCCTTTTTCTTTTTGCGCAGAAGCTGTGACAGAGAACCTCCTTGGAAGCAGTCGTTGAACCGTGATGGTCTGCAAGTTACAAGGCGAACATGCGAGCCACGGAAATAGCAAACACCGCGATTTCATTTCGGGTGTCTCGGCTCGACTATGTGCAGTGATGCAGTTCAGTGACACTATGCAGTGTCGTCGTTGAGCCCGTGCAGTGTGCGAATGCTGCGGTGACTGCCTGTCCTCCTAACTTCTAAATATTCATGGGAAACGGCATATTTCTTTTTCCTGTCCCTTTTGTACACTGCTAGACGCGAATTTATTCACGGAACACATTGAACGTTACCACTTCATCTGGTACCCTGCTCTCTTGACTGGAACACGAACAAACGCAACACACTCTAGTGCATTACATGAGCACTTCCTCGGAGAGGCATGTTTTTGATGCGAGGACCTGCATTTCTTAACACCGTACGTTTTTAGCTATGTGAACAACTTCTACGGTTGTGTGCCGTTCTTTTAATCACCTAACTCTTAAAATTGTGTTTGCTAAATTTTGTAGGAGTTGTTTCAGCTAATGATAAAGAAAGGTGGCCCGATTGAGATTACGAAAAAAACAAGCGAAATGAAGTAACAGTGGGATCGCAGCTATAAAAAGTTAAAGCTAATAACACTTAGTTGAACGTGTGAAAGAAGATGCGCACAATATCCAAAGAAATTGTGAGCAGAAAGGTCGCTGAAATGAACGCTTTGATTACCTGACACCTTTCACGATGAAACCCTGATCAACGTTTCTATTGTCTTATTACAGCGAATTAACGTAATGTTTCCTTTCTCGTGTACAGCGTGGTGATATATAAAAAAGAGGCTGTGTACAGTGCGTGGTCAGATTTTTCTTGCTTTAGGGGATACGCGAAATGACTCTCAATGTTTCAGTGTTTTTAAGTGACTTTGTAACGTACCTGTAAGTAATTCTGAGTAGTTTGAAACTCTGCCGAGCAGAACAAACAAAGACATCACGCTCGTAAGTTTCACGGAGTGCAACGATGATTTATTTGCAGGAAAATGGAAGCATGTGAAAGCCTTTGTCGATTTTGTATATTTGATCAGGCATAAACTAAAACATGTGCCAGTACAACGTAAAGGTAATCGTTCGCTGGAAGCCACTCGAAAACGACAGCGCGTGCTACGTCCGAGACAGACATATCAACCAAAGGACAAAAGCTCGAGCAAAAAGTGCGTCGTGATACAGCTCGGCACTAAGGGCAAGCAAGGCTTCATCAACACAGTCTTTATTGTGTTCAATCCAAGGGCTAGGTTGTGTGTGTGTGCTCAAGACAGTGCGCATCCGAGCCTTCCATTAGGCAAGAATTGTTCTGTGACCTAAGCCAGCGTTTCTAAGTAGTCTTCGTTAGTGCCAGCTCTTCGACAGATCACCACGAACGACCTGACGTCATTCAACATTTTTGAGTGTCTACTCGTCCAAAGGGCAGCCCTGAACTCTGCTTACGTGTCTCGACCCCACTGAGTGCTCGCCAACCCCAACGTGAACATAAAACGACCGGAGGCATACCATATTGTGAGCAATCTGTGCCATTGTTACCATTGGTTACCGCTCCGGCAAAACGCATCGATGTCTGTCGAAATGTGTTGACGGGCTCTCACATAAGCCTCGCTGAAGACGCGACATTACAGCTTCACTTCCACGGCGCATTGTGTTCGATCTCGCGAGACCGGGCGTGAAACGTGTAAAGTGTTCGCGCACGACATGACCACAACGGAACTGATGGCGGAAGCGATTCAACTTCTTTTCCTGTCCCCGCTGTCCACCTTCTCCGTACTCGTGTGGCTGGCAGCGCTGCTGCTGCACGCTCTGTCGCCGCGCCTGGAGCCCCGCGGATCGAGGCCTCGGCTGGTCGCTCGCGAGTCGGACTTCTCCCGCTTCCTGGCCACGGCGATTCCCGCGCTGACGCAAGCCTACGCGCCGCCGGCTTGGGCGCGGCACCCGACCGTCCAGTCGCTGCTCGCGGCTACGGTGTTGCGGCGATCCACAGAGGTGCCCTTCTTCAGGTGAGGTGTAGCTGGCGGAAGTGCTCCTTTCACAGGTGACGCATGCCTGAAGTTCTTTGCTTGTCGCCCACCTTCTACAATGTACTCGTACATGTACGTAGTCTTTAGTAAAACAGGGCTTACGGTATTTATTGCGGCGATACGGCACTCCATGATGTTCCCGAATTTGATCTCATACATAGGGCATAGATTTCGAATGAATTTCGTCAACAGCACCCCGTCAAAGAATGTGTTCAAAAAAAGAGCACCTGCTTCTTTTAACCCAGTGCACTGTGGTTCGTTCGCAGCTGTCCGAGGCTAAAATTGGCTCCCACCGTTCCCACATTACAGGGTGTGGGGGGTCATATATCTTGCCACTGCTCGGCGTTCCGATCGCCAGAGCCTTCACGGAAGGTTGAAAGAGAGATGAGGGCTGCGCTGTAGCTTCATCCCACCCTACATCAAGGGGAACACTGCACACGCCCACGTGGCCGACTTTACCCAGCAGAATGAGCTAAGTATTAGGTGCCGACTAGCAAGAAGAGAAGCATGACATAAAAATTGAGCACCGCCGGGACAAGGTATCACGCTCCACCTCTGGGAGCGCGAAATATGAATGCGATGAGGTTAGTACGAACTGAATTCTACTGGACAGAGGGGGCGACTGAAGAGGTGGCACGTGCTACAGGTACACTTACAACTACATAGTATTCGGATTATTAGAAACAAATTCACAAAAATGCACACACGGCGATAACGCATTCGTGTCTCTATAATAAACTAAGTTCCATGCAAAAAAAATTAGAGCACTCAGCCCTTTTTGTTTCTGTGGCCTTTCTGCCTTAATATTGCTAATGCAGTCGGCTAAGCATTCCTTCAAATAATACGGACATGTTTGGCCCGGGATATCTAGCTATACCGACGCAGGCTCTAGCTTTCTTGTTCAGGTATATGCCCCAGCATTCATTTCATTTATCAAAAAACTTGTAGCGTTAACCACACAACGCCTGCAGCTTCAGCTGAAAGTTGTTAATGACTAGGGTGCCTCGATGCGCGCTTTCCGCACTAATGATGACCGATATGACTCTCAAGAATTATTAACACACTCTAACGCAGAAGGGAATCACGGACTGAGAAGAGCGGTGCCTCAAATAACCGCACCTTTTGATATATCACAAGTTTTCGTAGGCACAGACAGAAGCACATGCCGATAACACACACCGGTACCCCTAGCCAGTGCGCATGCTCCAGACGCATGCTCCAGTGTGCTTGCTCCTGCAGGTTCCTGTGTAAAAGCCCAGACAGACAACAGCATCTTGAATAAACATTCGTTCTTGTTCTTGCCGTAAGGTGTAATGTTCTTCGCGCATACTTCAGATACTACAGAGGCGACAAAGATGGGCATCGTTAATCGCACCTAGACACGGAGACTATTTTTAGCAGCGAAGCTCCTTAGGCCCTCACGATGTCTGACCATTGTCGTCGAAGCTTGCCGTCACCCCTAGTCAAAGCGCAGGTGCAAAACATCTGCCCCGCCGCGGTGGTCTAGTGGCTAAGGTACTCAGCTGCTGACCCGCAGGTCGCGGGATCGAATGCCGGCTGCGGCGGCTGCATTTCCGATGGAGGCGGAAATGTTGTAGGCCCGTGTGCTCAGATCTGAGTGCACGTCAAAGAACCCCAGGTGGTCGCAATTTTCGGAGCCCTCCGCTACGGCGTCTCTCATTATCTTATGGTAGTTTTGGGACGTTAAACCTCACATATCAATCAATATCAATATCAGGTGCAAAACATTTGTTCGCAATGCCGTCTACGGAGCGTACATATAGTTTTCAAGTAAACATTCTTTGTGGTTTTATCATTATTTGTGCGCAATACCGTCTACAGAGCGTGCATAGCACACATGTAGTTCAAAGATAAGCATTCCTTATATCGTTTCCGATTTCTTGAATGGAGCTTCGCTAATCATCAGCATTCACTTTGTGGACATCCGCCAATTTTTCATTTTTATATTTATTTTGTCAATGAATATGTGCTGAGAGGAACTGCCGGCAGTCCTGGAGCAGTATCAACGAAAGAGAGTCAACAGTATGTGCGCGGTGACTGGCACGGTGGCGTATTGTTGCGAGATGCCAACACAACAAATTGAGGCGAGTCCAAGGAGGGTAAAGCCAGAGCGCAGAGGCAGAACATGCTGCGAAGACAATCTCGGGGGCCGACAGAAAAGAGCCCGGGGCCCTTTGTTACGCAGCGTCCCGTTTCCCGTTCATTTTCTTCCTCAACGACAAGTTTCCGAGCTTCAACGAGCACGCATCCGTGCTCAATGCCCTGGAGCAATGCTTCTGTCTTTGCAATGCCTTGCATTCGAGGTACCTTTCGTCCCCATAGGCCGTTGAAATCCAAGGCATGTGCTTCCTCAATTCAGTATATCTACTTTATATCAGGAAAAAATAAGATTATAGAAAAAAAGAAAATGAAACGCTTCCCTTTTTTACCACATCTCTGGGACGGGCGGCGGAAGCAACTGAAGCCCTCGATTTGGGGCCCTATACCCAACAATATCCTAAAACGTCCTTTACTAACCGTTCTTTTAAAATAAGTATGTTTTTCTTTTGTCTGCTATATTCCTATGGTGCCGTCTGAGGCTTTAATCTTTTCCTACCTCAGAATAAAAAATATCTTCTCCTTTGGCACCATGATGTTAAGAAGAATATAGCTAAAGCGACCCTAGTACAAAACATATGGGTGCGGGAGGGGTACTCCCCCCGATTCATGGCCCTTTACCGTAGCGAGAGACATACAGCAGGTTTCTGAGATGTAACTGCTGTTCATACTAATTGGTGTCATTATACGACTCCAACTTTTACCTATTACAAATCTTAATGTTCACCATATTATACACAACTTCTCGCTATAGCCATTCAATCTCTCTTGTATTATTTTTATAATGGTTTAAGGTCGAGTCACACCGGTCCTAGACAGGGTGTTCTGGAAGAGAACAGAGAGTGCCACTCGGTGCACGTGCAATAAGTAAATGCCCACCACGGACGGCTTGAAGATACGGCTTTCCTCTGCACCCGCATTTCAATGGGTGGTGAATGCGAGAACACTTGTGTACTATGAGGCTTAAGCTCACGTTAAGGAAGTTCCGATGTCAAAATTCACGGTTCTGCTCTGCTGCCCATAAACATGGGCGACGATGTTCAACAATATTACGGCCATGTTAATGGGCAGTTGCGATCTCTATTTTTTTTCTTTTTTGTAGCTATCTGGTAGAGAATTATTTTACCCAAGCAGGCCAATTTGCAGGCATGAGTTTCGAATTCAAGAGCAGTACCGAAGGATGGGAAATGAGATGTAATCAAGAACTTTTGATAGTACTACACCTTCTGTTTGTCATTGATTTCTTGCCTTCGCCCGGCCAAACATAGACCATGAACTTCAGCGAACAAAACCACAAGCCTTGCAAGTTTCTTTGTAAAATCTACCGATAGGACTTCTATACTACTGCGACGGCAATTATATGGATACTCGGAGTGCGTTGTTGTTGGCGCCGTAATGTTCCTTATAAGTCCAAACCGATAACTCCGCCCACGTGTCGTCGTGTTCTACGTGCAACGAAAATTTTCAGAAGGCTGCAGACGGGTGTCACTCGAGTGGAAATACGATGGGCGGCTCCATCGGGCGAAGGAGCATGGAGGATTGCCGGGGAAGAGGCGTGGGGGGAAAGGGGGTGGGGAGGAGGGGTGCAGCATCAGCGAAGTCTGATCAAAGGGGAACGTAATGACGATTGAAATCACTATACAACTCAAATCATTGTACGTGCCGCGTTCTCACCATTTGCCATATGTCGCGTTGAAGCGACAGACAGCGAACCCGGCTCGCTCTCTGAAGCAGCCGTCTGTCTTTCTACCAGTATTTTGTAGAGTTACGCTCCATCGGATACTAACGTAGTTAGCTCCTAGCCCTACTCCGTATAATAGTCTGAATTTGTTGCTGTCACGCTCAATCTGTGTTTCGCCCTTGCGGCTAAACTGTGACATTAATGCAACCATTTTACTCGAGCTGCCGATAACCACGTCGCATAAACTGTCGCAGGACACATTTGCAGCTCCGTGACCGGGGTCTGGTGGCCCTGGACTGGGCGGGCAGCACACCATCTGCACAGCCGGCCAACCCGGACGAGGTGCTGCTCATCGTGCTCGTTCTGCCCGACCTGGGCCGGGACCCGTGCAGCGTGGGCGACACCTGCCGAGCCATTTTGGCGCGGGGCATGAGGGCCGTGGTGCTCACACAGCGGGGACATGCCGGGTGTCCACTCACTACGCCTAGACTGCAGGTGAGTCGGGGTTTCCATGGAGCAAGAAATACTCAGGCATAACAAACAAATTCCACACTTACAAGCAGTTATATTTGACGGATTACCACACGTGCCGAAGATCGATGGGTTGTATCGGATTTTCTTTGAGAACAGGAAAACAAGCACTACAAACGGGGCAAGCTAAAGGCTCCTTCACAGCGAAAACGAAGCGGCAAAGCAGGAAAGCAGGCTTTTCGAAGCGGCGAGGCGGCGAGTGCGTGCATCTGTTAAGACCGCCCGCCTCGTTTGGCTGGCCGCGCGGCCGATGAGGCGGGGCATTTCACGCTTTTGCGTACGTGTCGCTATCACGTGGAAATGATTCTCCTTACACATAGATGGAGGAAGGAAGTGCTCCTCCGAAACAGGAGGGAAGGACTGTTGTTGTGGACGCCATATTAGTTCAAACGTTCGCGTTTGCTGGCATTGACTGGCATGCAGAGCGGCATCGCTTTCAGCGAAATGCACGCTAATTTTGGCTAAGTTTATCTCTTCTGGCAGTAGGCGATTCCACATATAATGTTGCTGACAAATATATTAGGCACTAAATATTACGCACGAAGCATTTAGAGAGAGAGATAAAGATACAAGGAAAGGCAGGGAGGTTAACCAGACGCACATCCGGTTTGCTACCCTGCACTGAGGAAGGGATAAAGGGGAGAAAAGAGGTATTTAATGGCAAAATAAACGCATCTAGAACGTATCTATTAGTCTGTCTATCTCACTGGCTGCGTAGGTTCTCCTGCTCTCGCGGCAGGAGAACCATTGACGAGTACCAAAATCGACATGACTTCACGAGAGCATGTAGAAAACAAAAATGACAGCTTATTACTTGATTATCATGACATGCCTTTAATGTACGCCGTGACATACGTGACATGGTGAAAGCTACAACAGCCGTTTGTTGAATTTCATGTATACCTAAATTCGCATCGTATGATAAGAGTATAAGGAAAATATATATATACCTGGTCATAACACAAAAACTTTGTCATTCATGTCATGGAGGCTATGACATATATGATTCGGTCATGGAGCTCTTACGGCCGTTTTATGAACTTGATATGTACCAAACTAACATAGCAAAGTAGGATCGTACGGCTCACATGAATGACTGGTCATAACACGAAAATCGTGTCATGCATGTAATGTGTGCCACGACCCACATGACACAGTCATAATGTTCTAATAGCCGTTTTATTAACTTCATATATACTAACATTGACAGGACAATAGCCTAGGACGAAAAAAAAATACCGCGGTCATAACACCAACAAGATGTCGTGCATGCCATGTACGACAAGACATATGTGTGAGCTCTAATGGAGGCTTTATTACCTTGTTGAGTACAAAAATTTACACAGAATGATAACAGATTATGAATACCATAAATAACTTAGCATAGCATAATAACCTTGTCATGCATGTGACGTATGTCATGAAATTCATTACCCGGTCATGGAGCTTAAACAGCCATGTTATTAATTTGTTGCCTACCAAAATATACATGACCTGATAAGAGGACATAACTACCATAACTGACTGGCCCTAGCACGAAAATCACCTCATGAGTGTCATGTGCGCCATGACACACATGACCAAGCCATGGGGCTTCAATGGCGGATGTTTCATTTTATTGGCTACCAATATTGACATGGCGCTGTAAGAGAGTATGACTAATGTAAATGACTAGTAATAACAAAAATCTCATTAGCTTAACATACGTCAGATTAACGTAATCTGGCTTAAACCGTATGGGCTTAACGTGACCATGTTCCGGCATTCAGGCTAGACAATCTCTACCAACTCCAAATTTAGTTGCTCGTCATTAGCGTAATGTAAAATATCCTAATCCGGCTTAACCCACATTGCCTTATTGGGGTCATACCAAGTCATCCAACTGGATAGGCAATCTTTACTCAAAATAGACTTCTTAGGATTAGCTTTGGCCACGTTTAACCAGCGGGAATTTATTCAGCACTGGCTTAACGGGGTCATGCTCAAGCATTCAACAGGTAAGAAAATCTCGCTCCAAATTCGCTCGCTTGTGATTAGCTTAATGCGGATTAGCTTATTCCGGCGTGGTCCACACAGTTTTGTGGCCATACTCTATCATCCAACAAACTATATTAACTGAATTTACTCTAAATGGCTAGTTCGGGATTCAATTAGTGCGAATTAGCTTAATCTTGTTTAATCCGGCCTAAATTCATCTAGCTAATCTCTACTGACTTATTGTGCCCATACTCCGCCGTCCAAACACCTAGGCAATTTTATCTTACTAATAAGAGACCTGCTCAAGATTAGCTTCTTTTGTATTAGCTTAATCTGGCTTAATCAGGATAGGGTTAGCGTGACCATGCTACAGCAATCAACAGGCTAGACAATCCCAACTCACTCCAAATTTACTAGCGCGTGGTCAGCTTAATGTGAATTAGCTCGATCCAGCTTTATCCACATTGCCTTATTGTGACTTTACTCTGTCATCCAACTGGCAAGGTAATCTCAACTTACTCAAAGTTAGATAGTTTCGAATTACCTTAATTCACCCTTTGATCGGATCAGCTTAATGAGACCACATGCAGTTACCCAAACGGCTCGTCATTCTCAATTCACTAAGACTTGTCCAGGATTAACTTAACTCGAATTTATAAGATTCGAAGCAGCTCTTTGTAGCGCTGTCCCTCCGTACAAACGCACCGTGCGCACCAGGTGCTGGCGCAGTGCCAAATAGGTCACGCCCCTGCTGCATGCTGACAGCACGCTCCTCTCGCAGTGCGCGCTGACATCACTCTCTCCCTCCCCTAGCGCGCATTCACCCAACACCCGCTAAAATTCTTCAGGCCTCATCAAATCCACCTCTGACCATGTGCTACATCCCGGAGTGTGTCCAGTGGAAGAACTGGAAAAGTGTCTGGCTACACTGGCTTCACGTCGGTTCTCGGCACACTTGCCCCGGGCAAGTTAGTGCGTGTGTGTGCCAAGGTGCTGTGTGTTGTGGTGTGACGTCACTTATCACCGGGGCATCCAGTGCGGGCATTGCTGTGCAGCCGATCACGTGGTTCTCTGCCTATATATATATATATATATATATATATATATATATATATATATATATATATATATATATATATATATATATATATATATATATATATATATATACGTGTGTGTTCTGTTATCAACTTCTCACTTGTTCTTGCAATGCTGTTGATTCCTCACACTGGCGACGAGGATGGGATCCGCCACCCGTTCTAGCTCAGTTTGAAGGCAGTATAGCGGATAAACGGAAATTGACGGCCTCAAAACAAAATCAACAGCATTCCTGGCTCGGACTGACGGAACTCGGTGGCTGCGAACTTCGCCGAAGGAGCAACTGAAGGATAACTACACTGCACCTTGCCTGAATGATGGCGCGACTAGGGAAGCTAGACGAGTTCGACGAGAAGGATAAAAATTTTGAATTCTTTTTGGAACTTTTTCATCATTTTGTCACCACTAATGACATCAAAAAGGAAAAGAAGCTCGTAGTATTATTCAGTGTGATAGGATCACGAACGTATGAGGTGCTCAAAAGTTTGGTAGTACCCGCTGTTCCTGGAGACGAGACCTTTGAAGAGATTACAGTGCTGTTGAAGAAACACTATAGCCTACAGTGCTCGGTCATTGTCGAACGTTGCAAATTTAACAAGCGAGGACAAGAGGAACAGGAAAGCGTCGAGGACTTCATAGTTGCCTAGAAGCATTTAGCAAGAGAGTGCAATTTCGGCCAGTTGCTACAAGACGCGCTGCGAGACTGAATAGTGGCAGGCATAAGACACGAAGAAACGCAAATTGCATTATTTTTGGAAGATTTACCCCCGTATCCACAGACGCTCCTTCACTCGAGGGCTCCCCTCGACTTCATGAAGTCAAGGCGGGGCGTGCTCCTCCACTCAAGGAGCCGCTGCGTTTCATGAACGTTCCTCCAAACTTCCTTCCCCAAGGAGCCTTGGAAATGCTCGCTTCACTTGATTTAACTGCATGGGCCGAGAAAAGCACCTGATGAGGAGAGTATTCGTAATTGTGATTAGGAATGCCTATCTCTGTATAATAAATGAACGCCTTTCTTAAATATTTCGTCTTTATAAATTGAGATGACAGCAAAAACAAAAAAATTGGCAGACCCCACGTACAGTGGGAATCGATGATATTCGAAGCATGAATGCGAAACGTTGATATGTCACATTAAAATCGGCACAATGTTACGAGGTGGAGGTAAATGGTGTCGTACATGACTTACGTGTCATGATTATAATGATTAGATGTCTCCTTTACCTTCGTCATCTATTCAAGTCACGTGGTACCAAATTTAGTGTATGGGGAGCTAGCGAAACAGCCAGGAGCGCATCATGAAGGGCCCAATATACTCCAATGTAGCATTGACGCGCGCGCACGCTGGGCGCAGCGGCGCTACGCTATAGCAAAACGCGAGGCGCGACCAGCGTCCGTCGGCGCGGCCCGACGGCCACCGGCGCGAAATGCGACACGCGGCATTTCGCTCCGATGCGTTACCTAGACAACACCACGTCTCCCTCTTTTTGCGACGGAGGTGAGCCAGACGCGCTGAAACACGCACGCGTCAGAGCAACGCAGCGAGGCGCGCGCCTGCGAGTATATGGCAGGACCGGCAGCCGGTGTGGCAACGCAGGCGTGACGCCACAAAATGGAACGCCGGAGAGCACGTGCACCGCGTCACGTCGAAATGTATTGGCGCGTTGACTGTGGCGTGTACTCATGTTCTCACATGACACACATCTCATGATTATTATGTTTGCACTAGTCACATACCTTCGTCATCCATCAGCGTCACGTAAAATCAAATATGGCACATGTCACTGAAGCTAGCGAGACGGCCACGAGCGTATCATGAGCGTAGCATGTAGTCATGTTGTTACACGACACGCATCTCATGCTTATAATGTTTGCACCTATATTATATCTTCGTCATTCATTTACGTCCCATAATACCAAATTTGGTATTGTGACGCTAGCGAAACGGCCCCCAGCGCATCATGAGCGTGGCATGTAGTCATGTTGGTACATGACACGCATTTCATGATTATTAAGTTAGCACCAGTTACATATCTTCGTCATCCATTCGCGTACCGTAATACCAAATTTGGTATATAAGACGCTAGCGGAACGGCCGAGAGCGCATTATGACCGTGGCATGTAGTCATGTTGTTACATGACATGCATATCGTGATTTTCATGTTAGGGTCTGTCACTTGTGTTTGCCATGCAATCATGCCATACCATACTAGTTGTTTTGCAACATGCCATGTGAACGAAGCCAACGCGATAGCTGCAGGACCATGAAATGTAAATCATGACATTCATGACATACATGTCATGATTTTCATGGCATGACTAGTCAAATGTGTTCTTCATACACTCATGTTATACACCACCAAGTTTGGTATTGATACCACTATCGAAGCAGCCAGGAGAGCTAAGAGTCGTAGGGGCTAGATAGATAGATAGATAGATAGATAGATAGATAGATAGATAGATAGATAGATAGATAGATAGATAGATAGATAGATAGATAGATAGATAGATAGATAGATAGATAGATAGATAGATAGATAGATAGATAGATAGATAGATAGATAGATAGATAGATAGATAGATAGATAGATAGATAGATAGATAGATAGATAGATAGATAGATAGATAGATAGATAGATAGATAGATAGATAGATAGATAGATAGATAGATAGATAGATAGATAGATAGATAGATAGATAGATAGATAGATAGATAGATAGATAGATAGATAGATAGATAGATAGATAGATAGATAGATAGATAGATAGATAGATAGATAGATAGATAGATAGATAGATAGATAGATAGATACGCTCAAAGTCGTCGAAGTTCGCTAAGAAATGCTTCGCATTTACAAAAAAGAAAATGTCCGAGAGCGATCTGGCTAGCCAGTAGCCACCTCGTGTTTAGCCCGCTTTCACCCCTGGAGAGGACGTATTTCCTTGCTTTGCCGCTTTGGCCCGCCTTCGATGTGAAACAGCCTTTAAGGCAATTAGACAGACTGCATGTCTGCGTGTTTCCTTTCTTCAATTTTGCCATGTGCTGGCATCCGTGATCATGGGCCAACAAACTGTGCCAGTTTAATGTATTTTTGGACATGACTGATGAATATGACGATGCAGTAAGGCACGCAGAAAAACACAAACGGAATATTTCTTTTCTGTATTCTCTGCCCTTCTCTGTGCCCTTGTCTTCACCAAGCGCGTAAAAAATGCAGTATGCTATTCCAACTAGCCCAAAAAGCAGTGCTTTTGCCAGTCTATATTCATGCAAGCGTTCTCGAAAGTGAATTAAAACATGTATTATACACACCTCTTTATATACGCCACTGTGGTCGACTTTTTCGTTCACAGTGCCTTTGTGTTGTGCTTTTCGTTCCCATTTCTATCTCCCCTTCCACAATGCCTGTCTTGCCACGCAATAAACTGTGCCAATCTTGCTGATGTAGGGTGATATCAAGTTTATTTGAATAACTGTCCCTCACCTCAAGGTCTTTCCACAACCCCCATAGAGTGACAGTTGTCACGAACGGAGAATTCAATCCAAACTGTCAAAACTGTTGTCCAAGTGAACTAAGGATCAAATTTTATAAATATGCGGGACTTTTCGGCCTTTCAAGTCACTCCTGACAGCTTCCTTAAAACTTAGATGGGACAAACTTATCACAAGTCCCGAAAGGTCCAAACAGTCCGCCATAATAATCGGGACCGAAAGAGTTGCTTATGCTTTCTGCTGTTTTGAATATTGCGGCACAAAGCGACTGCGCAAACGTCAAACCAGACTTGAGAGGTATAGGACTTGTTATAATGGTATGCAGGCCGCAAGGATAAAACAATGATCATATGTCTACGTTGCAGGCGTACGGTGACCCCGGAGACCTACGGCAAGTGGTGAGGTTCCTGCGCGGCCATTACGGTCGCTGCCGTGTCGCCGTGTTAGGTATCGGAACGGGCGCCGACTTGCTGCTAGCCTATTTGGGAGACACCGGATCCTCATCGGGTCTACTCGCAGCCGTCGCCATCTCGCCGCTCTACGAGCCCGAGAAACTGCTCGAACAGTCGCCCTGGCCGATCGGTAGGTCCTTTGAATATCTGACAATGAACAACTTGGGAGCCTCAATGGACCTACTTTCCAAAGGCTATCCGCAATCACGAACACAGAAAGAGCTACTTAACACTATCAATATAAGAACGCTCAACCTTGTACAGTTATGCGATATCGTTAAGGAGCTCGTTCTGCAGAACTCGCAATGTTGATGACGGTGTAGTTTACTGTGAGCCGAAAATCGCCGTGGTTCACGAGCGAAAAATCGAGACAAATGCACAAAAATAAACAATAAATCTTTGGCCCGAGTGAGAACCGAACCCAGGCCTATAGCGCAGCAAGCGGGTGATTGATTGATTGTTATGTGGGGTTTAACATCCCGAAACCACCGTATGACAATGAATTTTGTGTGACTAGGCGTCGTTTCTTCCTGTTAAAACTGAAGAACGCAAGCATTGTGCACGCTAAATAACATGTGCATGTGTCAATCAAATAAGCAACGCTGCAGATATGACAGGTATACGCAGTTGCTTGCTTTAATCCACCTGCGGAAGATTCCTCGAACGCTGAACAAAAGTTCCTAGAATAGGTTTCCTTGTACAGCCGAGGCAAACTGAACGGTAGCATGCTTAAAGGTCACTATGTAGTCATGAGTTGATATTGGATGAGCTGACGGTGACTTGAAACGCACTTGTAGAGGACTCGCCGGGGATCGCCTTAGCGCAAGTCCTTAGCGATCAGGGCCTATGATTTTGATATTGCCGCGCGTATGTGCCAGTGGTGGCGACAACAAAGCGGCGCGAGTGTCCTTGTCCGGGGGCAAAAGACGAAGAAGTCATTGCAGTCCTTTTTCCTGTGATCGATAAAGCGTATTTATTTGAGGCGCTTTGTGTGCTCGTCGATCCCGCGTCGTCACAATATATTATTCCCAGCTAGTGCGAACTAATCGACGTCACTTGTTTACCAGATATTGCGTCACACCCACTTTGTTTTTGTTCCACCGAAAGTGTTCCCTCCTCACAGAGATGGCGCTAAGCTCAATGAGCAGCTGATCAGCCGCCAATTTCTGAACGTATAGGCTTCTAAGGAGCCTTCGCTGCCAATTTTTGTCTACCTTATATCGACGACATTTGAACAGCACATTCCAACGACACTTTAACAGTACGTTTTAACAGCCCTTAGAAAACGGAGTTAAGGAGAGCACTAGGTACTCTACTATGGAAGAGCATAGAGCCATCCCGTGAACTTGACCACTCCCGGTAATTCCAACGATCTGTGTTTGGAAAAAGTGGGTAGCGATTTCGAGTACGCGAGGTACTCTACTATGGTAGAGCATGGAGCCGTTCTGTGGGCCTCACACTTAAGGCCCTCTCGTCAAAGTTACGCCGTGAGGCGGCAGAGGCAGCTCGTTGAAGGTGTGCAGTTTAAAGGCAAGTTCCGTCACTGCACTGCCACCACTTGCCTACTTTCGCAACCGCCATACTAGCCCCTTACCTATTATCAGAACTCTACATAACGCTTGTTTCACCTCTGCAAATTTTGTGTCCAAAACTCGTCATCTCAAAACATTTGTGTTTGTTCACAATATCTCTAAATCTTTTCTCAATTAGTCTTACGCTATGAACGCACCTTGCAAATTAGTGGCTGTCCGAGTCGCACTCACCGTGTAGCTTGCCAATCTACAACGTGACGATTGATTTATTAAATAAGGGTGTGCGAGTATTCGAGCTTTGAAATCGAATCGAATAAAGGCTAATCGACTAATTCGACTCGACATCCGAACAGTTAGTATTCGAAGTTTCGAATAACTCGAAAGGACGAAAATGTAAAATACGACGAATGCTAACACTGCAACTTTATAAATAAGGGTGGACTGGCTAAAACTAACTTTAACTTCGTTAGAATAGGCATTTACTTATAACTTTCAACGATATCCTAGCTGGAAGATGAGTGCTTCTCCGGGGCGTAAGCAGCAGTTTTTTTTTTCTTTCTAGGAAGAGGGGACTTTAGCACTTTGTTCAAAGGGGGGGAGGGGGGGGGACATGCAGGCAGATGTGGTCGAGGGTCATTTCGTGCTTGTATGCTACGGCAATAAAAAAAAAGCAGAAGGAAGGAGGCACGAGCTTGGTGCGCAAGGAGATTAGGTCACTTCCACACGTAAAACAAAATGAATACTGTCGATTCCACCAGTAGTTTGCTTCCAGAATAAAGGCCCAGGGTGCGTTCCAACACTCACCATAGACGGCGAAATACACAGCTAAATGGACGACGGCCATCTTAAGTCTCATTCCAATTTTCACGTAGCCGGCAAAATAGACAGCTCCGAGAAGACCGCATCGTAGAGAAATACGATGCAGGCTACTTTGCTGCTTAAACAAGATGGCGGCTCAGCGAATCGCTCAGATAGATCAAATCTTGCGAGAATGGCCGTCTGCACACAAACAGACGCTTTCCTAGACGCTCAATGAGAGCAACGTTTATTTGTTTTTTTTTATTTCAGCAGAAAATAAGTTAGAAATTACAACTGTTACGTTTGTTTCTTTTAGCTTTCGACGTCCGAGGTCGCAATGATCGACGTCCCTTCGACCAGCGCCGGCCAAAGTGTTGGCGGAACCGCAACCAAGTCGTCGTCCGAAGACAAGGCAGCGCGGAGAAGAGCTCGCGACGCCGAACGTAAACGTCGGCGTCGAGCGGAAGATTCTCAACTTAGAGAACGTGAAGCCGCTGAGAGACGTCAGCGTCGAGCAGCAGCACTGGATTCGGCCGCTTTGAAACGTAAGCGTCGACAAGAGGACCCGGACCGATTGGATAGTCGAATACATGGCGTCGCGACACTCGCTGAAACACGCAACGCACGACGACTGCAAACACCACCAGCCGACCACCATTCGCGGAACCTGCATCGACCACGTCTTTGCAAATTTCGACCTACGACCGCTGCAACCCGATCCACTCACTCTTCACTTTACCGACCAAAAAGCCATCGTGCTCAAAGTTCTTCGCAATAAATAAACACCGCCCTTTCGCATACGTGTCGTACGTGTTCACTCAAATTACCTGTTACGTTGTTTCTTTTAGCTTTTCCTTCTCGACGCGAGGTGGTGCATCATCGCGTAAAAGCTGTCTAAACGTGTTCCGATTCTCGGACAGCATGGGCTCGGTGCGGTCTTCTAAGCAGTCCGCGTAGACTGTCTACGTGATCTCTAAGAATTGCAACACATCCCCAGATGCTTTGCATAGTTTGGTCGCGTATGACGTAAGCACCGTAATACGTACGTCCCGGCTTTTAGCCACGAAACCTTCGGTAATTGACTTCACATGGGAAAATTTGTTCACGATGTGCAGTCGTCACTGCAGCAACGCACAACTCCTTCAGAAACTCTTATCGTTCTGGCTTGCAGCTAAAATGCTGCTTTGAACTGGCGTCCGCGAAGGATTTTGGGCACGGAGCACTCATGGCGGTGAAGCACAACACTGACGTTGTTGTCATGCCACTGTAGCACAGTTTGCACTCTTTTGGAAGCAGTTACACACCGCGTTCTGTGCTCGAGGACATGACCAGACTTCAATTCTGTGCTCTTTCTTTAAATTATAAAATATTTTGCATTCAATAGTAAATTAATTATGCAATTTTTTCTGTCCACTATTCAATTCGATGTTAATTCGTGATCAAATTTCACTATTTCCGATCCCCTGCTGATATTACCTCATTCGATTCATTTCTGATCATGCGACATTGACGTCCAACTGAAACTGATACATTTGTTACGGCGTTCGGCTGCTAACACCAGGCTGGCGTGTTTGATTCCATTAATTTTCCATAAGATGTGGCCCTTCAATGATCTAATGGGGATGTAAAGTCAGCCCTATATCTTTGCCCAATCGAACCTGTCCTGTAATTGTTCACGGCTAACAAAGCCAAAGGAAACAGACAAAAAGGAGACCAGACGTCAACAACAGCACTGCCTTTCAAAGGAATGCTGACAAACGTTGACTTGAAAGGCAGCGCTCGTGTAGCCGTCTGTTTAAATTTTCGTCCGTTTCCTTTTGCGCTGTTAGCCATGAGCATATTCCAACTCCTACAGTTTTCTATCCTTACTCTGCCACCGCATGTTTGTCGTGATAATGGTAGCCGTGTACCCCTGATGCGGCATTCCAAGGATGATTTACTCTGCACCTTTTCTGGCGCTAAGCTGATGACCTAAGGCAGGCCTTTATGAGCAGCGCGCCACTTGCTTCATGCCCATCCTTGCATCCATTAGCGAGGCCTCTTCTCTGTACAACCCGTTCAAGGGGTGGATGGGTGGTTGCGGGGAGTCTTTGTTCCCCTTAATGGAGGAACACCTGTTTACTTGAGGTGTATCAGCTGAATGCCATCGCGGTCTGGCTCAGGCTGTGAACATGCGGAGTCCACCCTTGACCGAGCCAGTGAACGCGTGTCCGTGCCCAAGGCGCAGCCGCTCGGCAGAACAATTATAGGCCGAAAAGGATCAAAGTCGTTGCGTCTTCTGTTGCGAACAGGTGAAATGCGGGAGTCCGGGATGAGATCTAGGTCGTGGTGCAACGTCGAAGTGATAGCGCCTCAAAGTACTCGGACATGTTGCGTGGTGCTTTGAAGGAAACATCTCGACATGACGTGCGTCACCAGATTGCCCTGGAGCCCTCGAAAACGACAGGTGGACTGTTGTGCCTTACTACCATTAGACCATTAGATTGGGATGCACTATCAGCGTCAAATGAAACCTGAACAGCGGCAAGACTTCGCGATGGTATAGTGCGCACTGTCCACTTATCACCATGGAAAGGCACGCATATATACGCAGAGCTGCCGAGCAGGATGTGCGCGCCTGCCAATGGTGATAACTGGACGTAGTGAACTATATTATCGCGACGGCTTGCAGCTGTTCGGGCTTCATTTGACGCTTATAGCACGTTAATAAACCTTCGGTCATCAAAAATACTCCGAAGCTTTCACACTATGGCGTGTTTAATAACCAAATCCCGGTTTCGGTACGCTGAACCCGTCTCTGTCGCTCCTGCAGGCGTACTCCGCCGTCGAGCCCTGCAGCGCGTTGTGGCGGAGCACGGCGGCGTTCTCTGCCGGGCCGGCTACTCCTCGAGCTCAGCGACGTCGGCGGCCGTGGACGTGGAGGGGGCCCTGTCGGCCACCAGCTGGATGGACGTCGAACAGAAGGTGCTGTGGCCCGCGTGCGGCGCCAGCAGCGCCGCGCAGTACTGGGAGCGCAACGCGCCGCTGCGAGACGCCGACGACATCGCGACGCCGCTGCTGTGCGTGTCCAGTGCGGACGACCCCGCGGTGCCGCAATGGGCACTCCCCATGGATATCTTCCAGGTGAGAGTGTCGGCAAGTCTCTTGCGAGAACATATTCTTGTTTCGAGAAAGATGCGGTCTATCCGAGTACTGTGCGATGTCGGGGCACTTTAAGGAACATCAAGATAATCGAAGCTCCAGCGTGTATCTCATAATAATATCGTGGTTTCGCGACGTAAAACCCCGGATATTATTATTAAAGTTATGCTATAAATACATTACCGCCAAAGCACTTCACCCAGCTGAAACGTGTGGTGTTAATCACCGGCTGCGATTTATCGAAAGCGTTCGTATGTTGGATGATTTGACATTTGGACCATCGAATTGCGAAGATGCATGCTTCAGAAGGTCGTGTTTGTTGACTTTAGCTTGAAGTATATTAGCCTCTTAATAAATTTGTAGGCAAAGATTCATGTTCGGGCAAGTACCATTGCTGTAGCTATACAGGCCCACAAAATCTGAAGGGAAACTAGCACGAACGTCAGAGACCCCTCGAGGCAGCGTATGCTATAACGTTTATTCTACACTACGTTTCCGTCGCGCTCACGGACAGCCAGTTTCTCTTTTACTGTCACCTAGATAGGCATATCTATCATTTGTGTAAGAAGGCAGAGAGGCGGACAAGGCTGAGCCGAACTCGCTACCTCACACCGCGATTGAGAAAAGGGGCTCATTCGTCGATGCCTCAACAATAGAGCACCGGAGCAGGAGTGACCTGTTACTAATAAAACTTCATTTCATTCGCCCGTGAAAATGAACTATAATGGCTGTTAGATAATGCTGAGTACAGCTCGAATTATGTGCGTGCTTGTCATTATCTTCAACATTTTTTATTTACTTTTCTTTTTTCTCTCCTCCTATCTTAATCTCCTCTATCTCTTCCCTCCTCCCTAAAGAGTAAGCAGGCGTTGTGCCCCTTCAAGTGGCAGTTGCAAACTTGCTCTCTCCCTCTTTCCTCTGCGTCCTTGTGTGCCCGTGTATGCAAATTAAATAGGTATATAAATCAAATCACTTACAGAAATTATGCACAAATTTTACTCCAGCGAATTTATTGCACGAATCATGTGTTCAAAAATAATTGATCACGATTTCTAGTGCGGTTCACCCCACCAGGGAAACATTTATTGACCCAATTAGTTACTGATATGTTTAGAACAAACTATATAAACATGTCTGTTTGGAAGGAAAAGTGAGACTCATAGTATCGCATGTATATTCTACTGTGGGAGAGCAGTGAGCGGGGTACAAGAAAAAAGGACACTCATTACAATAGCAGGCAAAAGCTTTCTTGACAAAATTGCGTGTTTAATTTCAAATGGTTGACGATTACATCGTATAGTGTACATCGTACTAAGTACACTGCGATGGGTGAGGGGTACTATATGCAATATCTACTAAGGGGTCAAATGCGACTACCAAGGTCGATGTGTGTGTTTGCTTTTGTTCTTGCAAAACGGAAACAACTTTGGGCCTCACGCTTTCACTCTTTACAAGTCCATGGCCAAATTATTTTCACCATTTTCGCCCTAATGTATACCGCCAAATATTTCAATTAAGTATTCTAAGCTCTGGCCTGCTCTATACTCTGAATTGTAAAGCTGTGTAACATGTATACTTTGAATTTCAAACACCTTCCTTTCATCTGGAAACATAAAAAGGGACTTTTTTACCCTGACGCAGCATAAACGGGAGCGTTCCACTTTTGTGTTGGAGGCTGATAATAAACCAAAGGAACAGTAAGCTTCTTAGGCACGCCATTATCGCACCCCCCAAAACGATTGAACAGTTATTTGCTGCTTCTAATAAAGATGCACTGACTGGATAATCAATTATGTCGAGCCTTAATTTGAACAAACTCCTGAAGGCGTGAAGTGTTTAGAACAAATTGTGAACGCTGTGCTATATGAACTCCACTTTGGGAAAGTGATACGCTGACCCTGTCCCAACACCACAGTGTTTCGCATCTGAGGGCATTAGTGATAAAAAGACCGTTTAACAAGTTCAAGCACTTAGTGCTCAAGTACGGGAGAGCTGGCGACCATCTGTGTATATAAAAAAAATGTTCGACGATTCATAGTACTTGGTACTTTACTGGGGGAGAGCATTACACCGTCCCGTGGGCATCACACTTCGTGACGCCGGCGTTGAAAACATAGAGTAAGATGTGTTAAAAGCACAACTGCTAAACGGCAGTAAGCGTGACATGTTTAGAAAAAATTTATTGCCACAAACGTCAATAACACTCAACAGAACATTTCCGTCTTAGACATACTCTGACGATGATGACAAGACAGACGTCATTTACATGAACATGGATATGAGATGACGTTGAAAAAACATGTACATTCAATGGCTCACACAAACACAACCACAAAATACTTCAAGGTAAACAAGAGACAAATAAAACATAAATATGTACATTTTGCATATTTACATGTTGGCATGCCATTTCTGCCGGCGCATCGACAGATCAGCCTACCAATACCAGGCCGGCCGAAAGACAAGTTTCACTCGTCCGTCATAGACCGACACAAAAGGGCAAGACCAGTGCCGAAGAAATTCCTCTTCACCGAGGAAGAAGAGCTCCTCCGACAAAACAGACAGCAGCTCCGAGTACAATCGTTCTAGGATCGGGAAGAGCGCGCGGCGGCGGCGGCCCGCTGCAACCGCCTCGCAGCGGTTGCGCCAGAGGCAGAAAGCGCCGGCAACAATGAGAAGACAAGCGAAGCGGCCTCGCGAACAACGCCCAGAAGAAACAAAGCGATTTACTCTGAGGCAGCGAAATCCAGCATGTACGGCTCTCCAAAAAACGCGAGCAATGATACAATGTCTCAGAAAATGCTGATTTGTTTCCCGAAGGGAGCAGTTCGGACATGTTGCTGACTGGACTATTCTCCACCTTTCGAGTCGGTCGAGAGTGGGAAGTACACCCCATCCCAGGCGCCACATGAAGTCCCGAAGGTGTCCAGGCAGAAAAGAAGCCGTTAAGGAGCTCCAAGACACCCGTCTAGAGCGAGCACGGCGGGCTGGCGGGACCAACGGAAGCAACAAAGCAGCAGTTGTCTCAACTATGTGGTTGTTCAAAACATCTATGCCAGGACAGCTCGACTTGACATGGCGAAAAAATGCAACAGTTGTTGCATAAAACGCAGGAAGTGTTATTGACTGTGGCCCCCTGTTAAGTTGCACATTAGGCATCAAATGGCGAAGGTGAGTACCCAGAAAGTAATATGCAAGCGTTCGTGCGGGAGATTCCTCCCCTTGCACTAGGCGCAAAAGGAAACGCAGTGCCAGCAGCCGACAGCGTATGGACACTGAAGGGAAAGCAAAGCCTCCTTGAGCACGCTGCTGTCCCAGTGCCGCGCGAGAGACCAACTCAGTGCCGCCTGACCAAAAAAAGGAACACAAAGCAGACTGCAGTGATCGCACGATACGTAAAGATGGTTGCACGACGTGAGAAAGGTACCAAATGCGACCGCAAAATACAGTCTGCGCAAGGTACCTCCGCTCAAGAAGCGGGAAGTCAAAATCCCGTGCATCCTGAATTTTCAGTCTTACTTCCTCGAGAGCGTTTAACCAAACAGATTCGCAAATGCCGTAGTGGTTGTATGAAATACCTAAAATACGAAGGGACGCGGCCGGCTGAATGGGAACACCGGCGCTAAGCCTGGAGTTTGGAGAGCCAATGAAGAAATACCGGGATTTGGAGATGTTCAACGCTGCACCTGAAATGTCGCCATACTGGGAAAATACATGCAGGCTGCGTGAAAGGCTATCTTCATCTGAAAGGTACAAGGTTATATCATCAGCGAAAGCTGTGACTTTCACGACACCGCTACCAGGAAGCGCAAGACCCCGGACATGTGAATCCGCGTCAAGAGCACGCAAGTATGGCTCAAGGCTGAGGACAAATAGCACAGGAGACAATGGACATCCCTGACGGACCCCACGTGTTATGGAAAAGGCGGCACTTTCCCAACCATCCAGAACTAGTGTGCTTTTCAGACCAGTGTACGTATTTTTAATCATTTCCACAAATGTTCGAATTTCTCCACATTTCATGTATTCGCAGAAATTATTTGAGGTCATACACGTGCATAATTTTTACAGCCCCTCTCTATGAGGCCCGCTAGAGGTCCAGTGCTCCGCGGATTATACAACAGAGAAACTTAATACCGCTGGTATATCACCGTTACAAGAAAAACAAGTCCTCAAGAGCGTCATTCCTTTACAAAAAAGAATCCTCTTTATTTGTTCTTTATACCGCTTTCAAACTAATAGTCAAGTTATTTCACCCGTCTTCGTATCCAAGGGACGGCATCTGTAAACTCTTAAAATTTCACGTATAACCTGCTTTGAGGTTTACTGCTGACCCGAAGACAGGTAGCGGGATCAAAACCCGGCCGCGGCGACTGCATTTTCGATGCAGGCGAAAACGCTTGAGGTCCATGTACTTAGATAAAGGTACACGTTGAAGAAACCGATATTTCCAGAGCCATAGAATACTTCACTACAGCGTCCCTCGTAATTATGTTATGTTGGGTTAAATCGCAAGAATAATTATTATATTATGCTTTCAGAGCTAAGTGATGCGTGAGCGTATAGTTTTATCCCACATTGCAGCCTCCACTAGGACGTACTACGTTGTCTTTGCATAACATTTGCATCGTGTTTATTGCGATTGACTTATGTTCGCAAGCGTCGTGCTCAGTCACTGCAGTGCTCTAATAGTTATGGCACCCGTCTGCTGAACCCCGGGAACGAATACCGACCGTGCGGCGCATCTCGATGAACGCGAAATGTATAAGGCCCGTGTATCATGGTGCATCTTAAAGAGCACCAGACAGTCCAAATTCCCGAGGCCCGCTACTACGGCACTCCTAATGGTGTCGTGCACAGTTTTGGGGCGTACCCCCCAGTTATAATATTTATTAGCGTCGGAAGCGTATATGGTAGGCACATCCTGCAGCCACTGTAACGCATTTCACATCAGCTTTTCGCAAAGTCAGAATTTTCTACGTAACAAGCCTCCTCTTCGACTTGAATCGTTTGCTTGGAGATGGCCTTAAGTACTGATCCCAAAGAATGAAAAAAATCACAGCATACCCACGGAGTGAATGATGATGAGTGGGGCGAAGCTTCCGTCCAAGCTTCCGTCCATGCGCCTGCCTGCCTGCCTGCCTGCCTGCCTGCGTGCCTGCGTGCCTGCGTGCCTGCCTGCCTGCCTGCCTGTCTGTCTGTCTGTCTGTCTGTCTGTCTGTCTGTCTGTCTGTCTGTCTGTCTGTCTGTCTGTCTGTCTGTCTGTCTGTCTGTCTGTCAACTATACGAAAACCACTAAGGCCATCTAGAGATAATATTTCCAAGGACACACACAACGCCATCTATTGAGCGATTCATAAACTAGAGGTGGCTACATACTACTACTACTAGTAGTGCAGAGGAGAGAATGACCAGCAGCCTAAGGAGCTTCGTTCGTAACAAAAGCCTTCGCAGAAAGTCTATCCCGTTGACAGTTGTTTTGAACAGTGGAGGTAGTGATTTTTGTTAAATAGAAAAACGAAAATAACAATGAGCCCCACATCTGTCTGCAACAGAGTGCGACATCTCAGCAGTAGCTCAGAAAGGAAGGGATAAGGAGGGATTAGAAGAAACATAGTTTGGGCTAAAAGTAAGAGATTGGTAGGTGGTTACAGAAGTACGTTTACGGAGCCCCGATCGGCGAGTGGTCGTCGAAGAGAGGAGATCGCGGAAGGGACAACCGTCAGCCACAAAGTCCGCCGAGTGGGTCCCTCAGGGTACAATGCGTTCATATGTTATGAGATATATTCGCATTCTGACAATAAAGATTCGGACAATAAAGAAAAGTCTGTAGTTCACTGGTTAAGACACTTTCTTCCGTATCGTGTTATACTTGGTTGAAAGCCCTGCAGCTCCAAGATAGTTTGCTTTGTACATTTATTTTTTTTTTCATGGCGATGATCGCCTTACCGAATATAATGGCAGACGGGCGGACTGCAGAGCGGGCTCACTAAAGGAGGCACTGACCCTAATTTTCGGACCAGAATTTACTCTCTCACACAAATATCCTGCACACAAAGACCGCTTTGAGCTCAGTAAATATCGATAAGATATCTTATATTGATATTGAAGTTCATTTTCACTTGCTCAACCCTAGCGTGACATTGTGGTTTAGTGTAAATTTTCGGGACTTCACGTTCCAGTGTCGCTATTGGTTTAGCGTAAATTTTCGGGACTTCACGTTCCAGTGTCGCTATTGGTTTAGTGTAAATTTTCGGGACTTCACGTTCCAGTGTCGCTATAGTTGTGTCGACGTCAGGTACCTAAAAATTCAAGATGGCCAGTTGCGTTTCATCAAACACGTTCAAAACGGCCGCTTCTGCGAAGTCGCGCAGCGGAGTGGCAGTGAAAACGCCACAGCTAGCGCGAACACATGACGGGAAGCTCTTGCCATGTCCTGACGTCAGGGTGCAGTACGAACCGAAGCTCGTTTTTGAAAACATGTTTTAATTATTTTTTAGTATACGCTCACGCTTACCAGTACGTTTGATAGGTTCTTGAGCACTTGTTTAAGCAAAAAAATAATAAAACTGAAAACTTTCGTATCAGTACCGCTTTAAATTCGAACTCGCCGAAACTTACATAGCAGACTTCAGTCAGAATCTGGCTCGCATCCAACTCAAGCTCGTTAACTAAGACTAGAAGAGCCACATTTACTCGTTTTTATTACATTATAATGCTCATGAAATGATATCACTTTTCCAGCTAACTGAGAGCCTCGCTGTTAGCGGTGTTGGCGGTAACGCGCTATACACGTAACGGCGTTACCGGCAACGCGTTATACTTTTTCGCTTACTTGGTAACGTTCGCATCTCCATTTCAAAATTGTAACACGTAAGCTAACGTACTTACATACTTACATGAAGTGTTACGTTGCTATTTCAATTTTGTTCGAATTATGTTGGAAGTTTTCCACAAAACTCTTTCGGCTCATAGGCACCACTATCGCAAGGTTCGATCGTGCCAGCGTTCTTTTATCCCAGCGGCGTATACTCTCTCCGCACCTAACACAGTTTCGCACTGCTTCCATGATCGGCCCACCAGTTCTGACCTAGCGACGGTATCATGCAGTATAACGTCACAGTGAGTTCGCGATGACGTAAAGATGACGTAAGTAATTTTGGCGATCATTGACGTCATTGTGTGACGATGATTTCTCGCATCACTCACGTTGACACCGACGGTCCGTTTATCGCGTTTGATGGGTGATCAAATACTTTCGCCTTAATGAATTTCAATTATTTGTGCAAGTCGACTTACTGTGTCTCACACCATGCTCGCCGCAGATTGACCCGCAACTGGTGTTGCTTCTCACCGAGCACGGTGGCCACGGCGGTTTCGTGGCGGGCCTTGGCTCTTCCTCGCCGACAGCACCCCGGTCGTGGGCGGACGGCGTGGCACTGGACTTCATCGCGGCAACCTTGGACTTCACGAGCCGTGACGGACGGTTACGCAAGTGCGCCACCCGATGAACCCCGTCTGAACAGTCCAATGACATCGTCCCGTGCTTGAGCACTCCCCAGCCAGAAGTGCATGCTGGCGTTGTGTACCAGGACGTTCTCCGCCAGCTCAGAGATTGCCTCGTCGTTGCCATGCCAACGCGTGACCAAGATTCTACGCGTCATGACCGGAAAACCACGATGGTTCACACTAGGGCGATTTCAAATGTCTCCTAATCCAAAATCAGGGAACACCCGTTAAGAATCTCAAGAAGTTCAGTGAGATTACCCTGTGAAACTTGGTGACGAACTCCTTAAGGGTTCATGCGAATGTCTCACAAACTATTTTGCGGTCTAAAGAAATCCGAAGCCTTGCAGCAGGGGCATGAGACTTGTGAGAAGGTTGGTTCAGGGAACAGCACGGAAAATACGAAGACGACGTAGAGGCACCAACGAGACGCCACGCGACCCTGCGTCTTCATTTTTCGGTGCTGTTCTCTGGATCGAGATGTCCAGTCAAATAGCCAAAAGACTCGCTTTCTGAGAAGACTGTTGCGAAGGTCCACAATTTGTTGTTGCTCCCAGTCGGAGCACCACAATGGGTTGTACATTATTCATGAAGGTGATGGCTATCCATAAGCTTATTTTTGAAATCTATATATAGTATCACTAAAGGAGAGCCATCAGCATCCTCATCAGCATCCACATAAGCACATTCGCTTAGCTTTGAGGCGTACTCGTTGAAACGCATTGTTGTACAGACGTGGCCTACAAGGCTTTTGTGCATTGTTCCTTTTGCATGAAATTTTCAGAGCTCTAATATCGTAGCATTGACAATTCATGTAACTTCGTGCATCTTAATTTTATGTAACACAACGTGACACGGCGTATAACCTGCGATTTACTGCCTCCGAGCCTTTTTTTTTCCCTTTCGCTGCTTAACAAACGCTTTGTTTGTACACCCTAACAAGGCTCATGACTGTTATTGTTAAAACTGCAAAGAACTGTAACCATTGAAAAGAGTATATAAGACAAAAATCTAAATCTTGCTAGTTTTTGTAGATTTTTAAATTTTTTACAAGTATCCTATAGTCCTTGAACAGCACATTGAGTAAAGGAGGAAGTATGGTCGGAAAATGTCCTCGCTGCGCGCTTCAATGACTCATGTTTCTGTGATAAATAAGGAACGCAAACTGTAGGGCAAGCGCATTATTAACACTGGGTCATGCTTACCGATTACCGTAACAAACAAATTATATTTCGACGCCTTCAGATTCAAACGTCGAAATTTTACTCAGGAGAACGCCGACAGCACAGACGCAGAATGGTGCATATTTCGCTTCTTATGGCACTACGCTAGAGAGCCCCTGCAATGCATTTTCAGCAAGGCCACAAAGTTCTGCCGATTGATAGGTGAGGGAGCTGTGAACACATGTGCCAAAACTTTATTGTGCAACACGTGGCGTAGAATTTACAATTTATTTTCCAATTCAACTAGAAATCGCTCGCTCTTCTCTCGAGAAATGATGTCATATGCCCAAAATCAACTGCGTCGTGTGCCCAAGTGCAGGTGGACACGGCAGTTGACCTGTGCGTCGTGCCTCGTGAGGTACCGCGGCCACCCGGAGTGCCTCGGGATTGCATTGAAAGTAAGGCACACGCTCTGAAGAAAAAATGGAAAATAATATTGTGCTCAAGTTCACGTTGCGTGGTGACGTACGGAAGCAGCTTTATGTCCTTTGTCATACGCCCCCCCCCCCCCCTTATTTCCGAGCAGTTCTCAGCGCGCTCGCTGGGACGAAAGCAGAGAGAAAGCGCTTATAGCATGCGGCAAATCTACCTAATTCCGTTCGTACACGGCAGATTCTAGAACTTTATGCGACAGTCAATTCGTGAGACAATAAGCTCCGATAGGGAGGATATTCTATTATTATAGGGTTACTTGAAAAAGTGTCGCAAGGCCACTTTAAAGGTTTTGTCTGTGTTGCATTCTGCGCATCAAATGATGTCAATGAAACCGTTGCCCAGATAGTCCTGCGAAGGTCGTGTGTCTTCAACTTCTGTTGTGTCTCCAGATAACTGTGCCATGGGATCAATACAACAGCAAGTATGTTTAAGCGCGTAAGTATGTATACTCTCCTCTCGTCAGAGCTGGTCGACACTTTATGGCTCAAGAGAGCTCCACGTGGGACGAGTGCACGAGAAGTCGGGGCAGCCCCGTGCATCGTAACGAGAATTCTCTCGACATTCTTTAATGTGGAAGGAATTAGAATAACACAGAAAGCATTTGTGAAAACATGAACTTTGTTTCGATGGCGGCGCTGTTTTAGCACTACGAATCGCGAACCGCGCGACCGTGACACGTCAACGCTTTTAAAAAATATAGGTTTCCCGAACCGACCTTTTTTCCCAACTGGAAAATATTTCGTGCTAGTATGAATCACGATGAAGTGAAATCCCGTGAGTGGGTCTTCTCATGAAATTCCTGAGGATTAAAACGTGTTAACAGTCAGAGAGGATTTATCGCACTTACTAGAACTCGGAAAACACACATCGCGTGTCGTACACGACATTGGTCGTATCAAAATAACTTCTCTATTTGCTTTTACAAAGAACGCATACTTAGAAGCACAGAATGTTCATCTACAGTTGGTGTGTATTAAAGAAAGTAGGTATGCAGTCACTTACACAAAAAGATGTGTTTTCATGATCATTTCTCTTTGGTCTTTTGTTTTCACAGTCACATATTTTTGAGTAACTACAAAAAATGCCACGCGTGGGTGGTCGTGATATACTGCGGAAAAACAAGTAAAAAAAACATATGTATTTTGCTGCTATCCATTTCATTAAAGTAATCTCTCTTTGGAATTCGTCCACCGATAGTGTCAGTATTCGACTTCATGTCTGCCGCATATACATCATCGCACGCAAATTAGTACGCAAAACTGCACCAACTCATTGATCATTTGACACTGAGTAGGTGTTTTGAATCAAGTTAATCAAACCATCCTTGTGTTAGAAAAACACCTAAATGTAAGGGAAATTTGGGGGTTACGCCAACCAGAGATTCTTGCAGCTCGTGTCATTTTGCACGACAATCTTTATAGCTATGTCCCCATAACTTCTTAGAAGAAGCGCAGATTATATCATCAGGTGATTGAAACAATAACGGCACTGATGTTATCGACATTATAATGTGTCGGAGTCTTCGAGGTCATTGGGTGCATTCTGAGACCACTTCATCCAGACTTCAAAGCGTTATTCAGTAAAACACATCACGGAACTGCGACGAGGCAAATGTTTCAAGCGGCGGTTTATAACGCCCACGTTGGTTTTAATAGCGTACATTGATTGAATAAAATAAAGTGCATGTTACAAACTGACTTTTACAGTTGTAGAGACTGTGACGCGACTACTCGCTCGCTGATGGTACATTGCAGAGCCATGCTTTGAGACGCACTGAAACACCCCGACCATTTAGTCATGTCAGCCCACTGAGGGGTTACTAACAATTTTGCGAGCGTGATTTAGTGAGTGCTAACAACCCCTTCCCATTGCCCTCTCCTCTCGGCAGCGACCATCGGCCCTCATATTCTGAATAAAGCCATAATGATCGTTATCAGCAGCAACAACGTGATCATCACACTGCTGTAGAAGATAGTTACTTCGGTTTTGTTATGCCAAGCAATGTGCATTAATTCAGGAAAAAGTTCTGGCTGTCATAAACAAACTAAACTTTACCAGCAAAAGCATGCACATTTGGCCTGCTTGGTTGATACTTACTGGGGCACCATCAAACAAACAGGGCCATAGGCGTGCGCACACGAAAAAAAAAGAGAGGGGAGAGAGGAGGTCTCGTGCCTCGTCTTTGCCCTTCGTGCTGATTGTAAGGGCCTCAGCGGGAGGGGGCCGTTGAGAGAGAGGGCTGGCTATGATGCAAAACTCTCACAACAGCAAACCTCCTCCCCTCTTAAATCTAGAATCATGCGTACGCCCATGAACATGGCTAATAAAAAAGAGGTAAGAGAGCACAGTTCCTCTATTACTCATGTCGTGTGTACGATGTGCGTGTAATGTCTATAAGCAAGTGCTCACACCATCACAAAAGGTTGCCAGGTATCGATACTTTGCACGTTTAAATTTTTTTGTTGAATTGAAAAAATAAGCGAAAGAGTTGTTGCCACCATTACTTGGCGACGGCTATTCATTTCCAGTTAATTGTTACGAAAAAATGAATTAAAAACAAAATAGCATATACACATATATACACTCCTACATCGGTGAGCCCAAAAGTTCTCCTTTGGGCAGAACAAACACATAACCGCCACGCTCACTTTCAAGCTAGTCTGCTCAATACTGGTCCCAAATAATTGTGTCCTCGAAAAAAAAAAACGCTGCGGCACTTTCATTTCTTTGCGATTTATTCTACACGGCCATGGGTCTATAGCATTTTCTCCAACGTAAACGCTCGCTGGGAATCTAGCGTATGGATTTTCTGTTCGAGTGCACCGTCGGTATGTGTCGTGTTTCGGACAGTCGACCAACAGGTGATATATATCCTTCTCATCGTGGCCGCGCGAAGCGTGTTGACGATGTTACACGCTGAATCCGAAGTCGGAAGGGCTTTGTGTAAGCTGTTCCGAATCTTTGACGATGTATGAAAGAGTCGATACGCCTTGGTTTTTGTTCTTCTTCTCGTCGCTCTTGTTGTGGGCAAATTCAATTAAAAGGAGAAGCTAGACTTATCTCTAAAGGAGAGGAAAAGGCTTATTAGTCCACCTTTGTCCTTTCATTGATTTTTTTTTCTGCTGCTGCGGATGATTGAGAGCTGTTGAAATACATTACTATCCCGTTTATGGTGCGTCAGCGCGGTTGTTTCTCATTGTTGTCGTTCACATTGACTGCCAAGCATGACATATATGTATATTTAAATGGTCGTGTCAAAAAGCGTTGTTTATTGTTGTAATAAATGTTTCGAAAAATCGCTGAATATTCTTGTGTCATTTGGGGAGAGTCGCGGTTCACCTTCTTTTTTTTTCTTCTTTTATTAACATCCTTTCTTCGCGCTTATAGGTAGAAACTGCAGTATCCGAACAGGAAGAAAGATATGTTTGTAAGGCATATAAGAAAAATAAATTAAAAACCACAACCGCACTGATGTGTATAACGCCGACAGGACGTAGCAGCTAATAGACGATTGGTGTTGCTGTCGCTATTGTGACGCAAAACATGCCACCCCCGCAAGAAGAATCAGCCACATCAAACGGGTGTGGCATTCCTTTACAAAAGTAAAGAAAGTGAACAAAACAAAATACATTGAACTCCCCACGAGGAACGTAGCTCGGAATTAAAACATGCTATTGGCACTCGCATGAGATGGCAACTTTCCAGAGGTGTTAATCAGACACGATGGTTCTGTGGCTGGCGTAATAAAAAATACAGAGGCACGAAATAATAACACACTTGGGTTGACGGAAAGTTGTAGAAGCTTCTGGGGAAGAATGTGAACCGGTGGCAGGTGAACAGAGAATGGTCTGTTCTTCGCAAAGAGCACATTCTTTGCGTTGGGCACAACGTCATCTCCGACACCTAGAGCACCTAGAGCTTTGCCTGGTGCTGTTGCAATGATTACGACCTTGATTGTGATCTTTCCTGGCTCGCTCTATAAAACAGAGCATTTACCAGCAGACACGGCCTAATTTCTTTTTTTTTTCCTTTAGAGCGAAGCTCATAAAGCTCGAGGTAAAACATGTGGCCCCGAAAACTCTCCGCGCCATTGCTTATCACCTGCGACCACCGACGGCGACAGGTCGCGCAGCAGCGCCGTGTTTTGCGGCGTGGCAAGGGTCGAGTACGGCCCGCGCTACTACCGGGGACTCCACAGCCACTGTGCATGCTAGTCCTGGCGCTGTAGCTCGGAAATTCTCGCATAGTCTGCGACAGGCTGTGGTTCAACTCTGCTAGGTCCACGCCAAGAAAGACCTAGCATAAGAAAGGCCACGTTAAGTCCTGACCAACCAACTTTGGTGTTTATTAAGCTTTGCGTGGCTAGTGTTAAGTTCTCCCTTTGTCTATGTGTGAATATCTTAATGCTCGAGGTAAAACTTCTGCCACCAAAAAACAAAAATCAC